TTTTTTGGTTTTTCTCCGGTACCGGGAACCGAACTCACGACCTTGCACTTGCCAGGCAGGTGCTTTGCCGCTGAGCTAAATCCCCAGCCCCTGTCTTTAATTTTTTAGCACAGGTAAATCTCCTAACTGGCTGTGGTGGCGCATGTCTGTAATCCCAGCAAACAGGATGCTGAGGCAGGAGGAGTGCTACAATTTCAAGGCCAGCCTGAACTGTATAGTCAGACCCTGTCTCAAACCCTCCCCCTGCCAAAAAAAAAAAAAAAAAAAAACCCTAATCATTCTTTAGGAGATTCTTTAAACATACAAAGAAAAAACCCATAAGCAACATGAGTCTAATCACAGGTGGGTTGCTGTTGAATAAATTACTATAGTGTAACCTTAACCATAGAATATTACATGGTTATGAAAGGTGATCAAGATCTGTAATTATTGATAAGGAGAGATTAATGTATGTTGTACAGTGAGAAAAGCAGAACAGGCAAGTCTACAGAGATAGTTGATTAGTAGCCTAAGCTGTGGTTAACAAATGGCCTAAAATTACGATTTGTGCACAACTCTGAATATAATAAAAGTTATTAAATTATGCACTTTTTTGAGACAGGGTCTTGCTATTGCAGTTCAGGCTTGCCTTGAACTCACTCTAGCCCAGGCTGGCCCCAAACTCACAGTGATCCTCCTGCCTCAGCTTCCCAAGTGCTGGGATTTCAGGCATATGCCGCCACACCTGGCTGAATTCTGAGCTTTAAATGGATGAACTGTATGGTGTGCAAACTATGTCAGTAAAGTTTTTTTTTTTTTTAATTTTTTTATTTTAAAGAGGAAAAATCCCAAAATTTCAAAACAAGACAATAGGAGGGTAACAGTGGTTAATACATTGTGTATTATTATCTTTAAATTAGTTTATGTCAATAAATTTGTTTAAAAATAAATGACCTCAAAACATTGGCAGTCCCAACAAGGAGATGTATCAACTGGTATTCTAGGTATTTTCTTGCATAAATATGTATGTAAATACATATGTAATATGTACCTTTCTAAAAACAGGACCATACTCTATATAGTTTTACAGTCTGGAATAGTTGGATCTTATAGTGATTCTGTTTAAGCGTCTGAAGAACTTCCAGATTGTTTTTCAAAAAAGGAGTTGTGCTGTTTTACATAACCCCAGCAGTGTATGAGGGCTCCTCACCAACATTTAGGGTGATTGGTTCTTTTGATTACTCTAGTGGGATGATATGCTGTCTCATTTATTTTTATTGGTATTTTCTAATTTTTATCAATAAACAGTTTTTACTCCTGCAAAATTTAAAAATGATTTCTAATGTTAAGGATGTGGGAAGTGCTCACAGTGTAAGCCTAAGTGAAGAAAGCAGAAAACAAAGCTGGTCATTCCAGATGATCTCAGTTTGGTAAAAATCATTGTTTAAAATAATATCTCCGAATGGTTGAAGTGGCCTGCTTGACTGTGTTTTTTCCTGTAGTCCTTATGAGGCTTTTCTGGCTTTGAGAGGGACAGCCTGGGGGTGCAGCTGCTGGAGCACTTGGGGTTCCACACTGCTGAAAAGCTGTGAGTGGACCCTGGCATGTGACTGCCTGGCCTTTGCCTCTTTAGAGCAGCAGTGTATGTAGGGAACATCTAACAATAGGTGTGCAGGAGGTGTCTTTATGCTTTTAGATAGCCCCTTCCTTTGCTTAGACAAGTATACAACATTATCTTTACAAATCAGCCCAAATCACATTTAAACAAGCTAATGTAAGCTGGGAGATTGCATTAGATTCGCTAGTATTTACACTAATCAGTCCTTCTGTTTCTACCCATAAAGGGCTTGTAACTCAGTATTCACTGCACTAGAGAAAAGCCAAGAAGCTATTGAAATTACAAGTGAAGACCACATTATTCAGGTGTGTTATTTTGGGAAATTGTCCTTATTTTCTTGTCTGTCCTCATTTTTAGAAAAGACCCCCTCCAATGTAATTTTTTTTTTTCTTTTCAGAGTTCAAGAGACTGATTTTTTCCTTAGGGGATTATCTGAACAAAATCAAAATATATAATTTAGTATAAGCTCTCTAGATAAAAAAAAGATAATAATATGATGCTAGAAAATGTCTGTAAAAGTGTCACATTTGCATTTATTATTTCTCACTGGGTTGTATATGTTTATTTGGTAGACTTATTTGAAAAGGTAGTTGCTTGAGAGGGAACACTCGAATATTCTAGTGGAATGATATGCTATCTTATTTATTTTGATCTGTATTTTCTAATTTTTGCCAATAAACATTTCTTTTGTAAAATTTTGAAGTGATTTCCAGTGCTAAGAATATGGGAACACTGTAATAGAGAGAACCCGACTAGGTCTATAAGCCTCCCTCGCTATATTTACACCTGTCTCACTGTTTTGGAAGACAGTTCACACTTGTACAGATTTCTAGAAAAAAATGAAAATGTCAAAAATGGGATACCCAGCACTTACAGAATACCCACTGTTAGTAAAGTGGGTTTACATAAGTAACTTAAGAGATCATGACTCATACTTCGCATAACAACAAAGAAGAGAGCTGTGCCGCAGGAACATTTCCGCTCTCTGAGAATTGGATCCACTTGATTTTCTTTGTGGGGCCCCAGTGCTGTAATCTAACTCTCCATCTGCCTGCCTGAGCCATTTTGGGCAAATTACTTAACCCTAATCCAGCTGAATCTGCTTTGTCATCTGTGTAGATGAGAATTATATTAAGAATAACAGCCACCTGCCTTCTGTAAAGTTGTTTTGAGGATGAAATGAGTTAATGTATGTGAAGTGCTTATTATACTGTCTAGGAAGGAAAATAGATCTTAGTAAATAGCATTAGCTACTGGGTCTGTCACCACCTGCAGCACATACACCACTTTCCCCACATCATCTCTCGTTTTACAGTCCTATTTGAAGCTTAATCATTAGGCATGACATTGGTAAACGCTAGCTCACAGCCTGCTTTTCGCACACCTTATTTACTTGAATCCTATGAGAGAGGCAAGAGAAGGTTTCACTCCCAGTATCCAGATGAGGAGGCGTGCAGTGACTTGCAGAACCCAGCAGTGCGCAGAGGAGGGTAGTGCAGGCATTGCATGTCCCAGTCTGCTGCTTTACACGCTGGAGCCCCAGCCCAGCAGCCTGGATGTGTCCCAGAGCGGTGCCGGTGTCCTCTTCCTGTTTGGTCAGGGTGGCTGCTGCCGCAGCAGGAAGCCCAGCCAGACACCACTTGTCTGGCTGCTGATTCTCCTGAGCTCATGTTCTTATGGTATTAGAGCCATGGTTGGGTGCAGGCTCTTGAGGAGGGAAACGGGAAACAAGAGTGCTTAGGTGCAAGATCCTTGATTGCCCTCTTTTCAAAATGCCTTTGAATTCATTGGATTTTTTTGTTTGTTTGTTTGATCTCTCCCCAGTATGCAAATCCTGCATTTGAAACCACAATGGGCTATCAGTCAGGTGAATTAATAGGGAAGGAGTTAGCAGAAGTGCCTATAAATGAAAAAAAGGCTGACTTGCTGGATACTATAAATTCATGTATCAGGATAGGCAAGGTAAGTAGGCTGGTCTCTCTGTCACTTTTGTGTAACAAAGAAGGAAAGAAGACTTGGTGTTCAGCGAATACTGTGTGCGCCAGTTCACCTCAGCCTCAGGTCACCTTGCCACAGCCCCGGGGAGGGTATGTCGCGTGGCTTTTTTTTTTTTTTTTTTTTTTTTGAGACAAGGTCTCATTATGTAGCCCAGGCTGGCCTCAAACTCACGGCCATCCTCCAGCCTCCCCAGTGCAGGTACAGGTGTGCACTACCACACCTGGCCACATGTTCTTTTTATACCTCTTCTGCAGATAAGGAAACCGAGGCCAAGAAAGTACATGATATGATTAGCCAATGAACAGAGTAACTCGGCACTTAAAATCATTGCTTTCATCTCTGTGATAGGTGAATAAATTGACCTCTCTAATACTGCTCTGAAGAGTAGTAGCTCCTGGCCGGCGGCTCTGGGCGAGGTTTGGCTGGCGAGGCTGCACATGTTCAGTGCACATCTGAGCCCAGCAGTGCTCGGAGCCTCTGTCGTTTGTGGCGCATATTTAAAGTGATGGCTGTGTGCCGGATACTGTGCTAGATTCTGGGATACAAAGAAGAGCAAATGAGAACTCTGACTTAGGAGAGCACCTGGACCAGAACAGGCTTCGGAAGGAGCCGTCAGGAAGGTGGGCAGCCCCGGATCAGTCCTCGAAGGTGCAGGCAGGAGAACCACAGGCCTGGTCTGCGGGGTGTCTCTTCCTCTGAGTGTGCCTCTGACCCACCTCCGTTAGACTTTAAGGCGTGATGGGAAGGGGGACTCTGCTGCTTTCCCAGTCACTTTCCGTCCTGTCTGTGGGGCTTTTCCTCACTGGCATAGTTGGGCAAGGACTGCAAATCCGAGTCCTAGGAAGGTTTGCACATTTGGTGGAGTGTGCCGGTGTCCACACTGCATGGTATTAGAGGTGCAGTGGTGCCCCTCCCCAGGGCTGCCCAGGGGCTGCTGCCTTTGCTTCCCCCACTCTGAGCACACAGGAGGAGCTGGAGATGAGAGTGAGGACAGGCCTGGCCCACGTGAGGTCTCGGGGTGCATTCTGCTGGGGAGTGGCAGAAGCAGGTACCCCAGCATCGGTTAGCCTTCAGCTTTCCTGTCAGGAGGGTGTTTATTTTCCTAGAGGGAGTTGAAGGTCTGTCTTCTGTGGGGAGAGAAGCAAAAGCTGAAGTGGATTCTTAGGTGCACCGAGATGCTAGCAGCCATGGAGGGCTTTCCCTTGGCTACCTGAGCCTGACATGTTTGGTCCCTTGCTGCTACCAGGCCAGCTGGTGGTTTTGTGCTAGGTGTGAGCCAGGACCATCTGTGAATACCCTACAGTATTCTATGTCCCTGTCCCGGGGTGGGGGTGGGGTGCAGATAGAGAAGAGGTGCACAGAGGGTTAGCTCTGCACCCTGGGGTGCATCAGGTCTGTGCACACTGTCACCCTGTCACTGGCCTCGGTCTGAGGAGGTTCTGAAGCTGAGCTAAGGAACCTGACCCACTGACCTAACATATAGAAAGGGCTTGCAGGTTTGCTGGCTTTGGTCAAGCATCAGTAAGAGGTTTAGGACAGGTTCATTAGGCAGGAATTTTAGTACATAGTCTAAGAAAGAGAGTATAGGCCCAAGAGAGAGAGACAGACAGACAGACACATTGATTTTTTGGAACAGGTAACATTTATGGTTTTTTTTTTAGAGGGTTAAAACCCCAAAGAAAGTGGCCCAACCCCCAGATAAGTACTAGCCCATGTTACCAGTGTGAGCCCAGGTTTTTTTTTTTTTTTTTTATTAAGATGGATAATTTAAGTATTTCTTGCATTTTCTCAAAGTGTTCCTTTATCTTTGGGTCAAGTTCCTGCTCTTTATTTTTTTCAACTAAGCCAACTGATGGACTCTTAGTGTCCTGAGGGGCTGTGGGTGTGATGGATCTGGGAGGAAAGGAACCTGAATTCAGCCAAGGGATGCTGATGTGGATGCCTCAGGTGACTTCTCTGAGGCCCAGCGTTGCAGTCTTCATAAAATACAATTTTTAGTTAAGATTTTCTTGTCTCCTTTCTATGTATCTTTTATTTCTTCTACCCTACCTCAACCTCTGCTAGAGTTACGCTATTCGGCACCAGGTTCAGAGGGCCTCATGCTTGAAGAGCAGAAGATCTGTTCTCTCAGTTCTGAACTTAGGATGAACAGTAGGAGAGAGGATCAGATCATTAGCCCCTGTAAGGCTTCAATTCTAAAGAATTCTGACTCTGTGTGTATTTCCGAGTTGTTAGGAAGAGTGAGAAAGTGACTGTCTTTAGTTGGTACCTTGCTGCTTTGCTGGTGACCGTGTAGCAGGCCAGGCCTGTAGGTTCTTGGGGTGAAAGAAGAGAAGTGTCTCGAGGGAGGACTTGCTGGGGGACTAGTGTCTGGTGGCACTGGGTGCAGTGATGGGCAAAGAGAGCTTGGGGACAAGCAGGCAGAACGGTCAGAGTGGTCAGCGGCCAGGGCTGTAGGTACCAGGGTATTAAGTACTAGGTACTGGATATCTAATTTGGAGACTTGTGGGGCCAGAGGAGAAATTCTGATGCTCCACAGGCCCCTCCCTATCATTTTCAGTTGGCTGTCTTCCGGGTAGAAATGAAAGGCCCCTTGACTTTCAGCCCCACACTCACGCTTCCCTGTACACTGGTTTACATCCCTTCTGACTCATCTTTTTCTTCCTCCTCAAGACCCTCTTGTTAGGACTCTAGGACCCATGGTCTCTCTTCTTTTCAAATCCTCAAGCCATACCACCTCTTCTGGAGATGTTGAATTTTTCCCCTTTTCTTTATATCAACATGTTCCCCTGACACGTGGTTGGTACAGGGTAAATGTCAGCTGCTCAGTTGCCCACTGTATGGTAATGATGTGCAGCTGCAGGACCTGTTGGCCTGCCTTAGTTCCTGGGGTCCTTCTTTCCTCCTCTGCTTCCTTCTGTTTCTTTGTGGGTTTACCTGGACACTGGCCTCTGTCCCTTACTGTGGTCCCTCAGAAAGCTCCTCGTTGTAAGGCGTTGTTCTGCATGGTGTAGATTTCACAAGTCCCTGGTTTTTGTCTCAGCCTCTTCCAAGATGTGATTCAACATTCTGCTGTCCCCTTGTAATTCAGTTGTCTAACAGTGATTTCCTTTCATTCCCCACAGTCAGAATCCCAGTGCATCTTCTCCCCAGGCTGCGTGTGCTCATGGGCTACCCAGCTGCCTTGTCCTAGATTCCTGGAGTAACTGTGATTTTTATTTCTGTCCTTTGATCTCCTCAGTCACATTAGTCACTAGCCACGATGGCTGTCCACTCCCTAGCCTTTGCACGTCTGCTAGGCTTTGACCTTGTGCAGGCCTTCTTTACACAGCCTGGAATTATGGTGGCTGAATCCAGTCTGATCTCCTTCTCCCAGAACCCCCCACCCCACCCCGTTCACCCACAGTGTTGCAGGACCAGTCCTACTAAATCATCCTGTAATGTCCCTCTCTTAGCACAGAGGTCAGATGCCTTAGCCTGGTGGCCAGGATTCTGTAGTTGACCTTGGCTACTCAGTGAACAAAAGCTCCAAGTGTTCCCTGCTTGTTTACTGTGTGCAAGCACTGTTCTGGCCCAGGGGATAGGACAGCTGGATGAGGATTATTTAATTCTGAAGACACCGGGTACCAAGGGGGACTGCATCAGCACCAGAGCGAGGCGCACAGCTCGTACAGATGAGGGAGCGGAGGGAGGCCCAGGCCTGTGGCTGTGCTGCGGAGTGCCCACCTGGGAGAGCCTGTGACAGGGTCGGGGCTCTGCTAACAACCAAGTCTTTATATCAGCATGCATAGTAGTACTGTCATTATTTTGGGGAACTAAAACTTACAGTAAGTGAATTTTTAAATATCTTTATGATAAGTAAATATGGTTTATGCTAAGTAAATATTTTTTTTGTTTCCACTGGCTACCAGGAAACTTAGAGGCAAATCTGTCACCCAAGCCAAGACAGTGGCTAAATCATCTCACTCCTTTGGGTGGATCATGGAGCTTTGGCAGCATGCATGGCCTGTGGTCCCTTGGCTTGGGATCTGTCAGCCGCCTAAGTTTATGTGGAAAGGACTGGAGAAGAAAATCCTAAATATATTTTAAGTGCTGACCTTGATGAATTTTTTTAAGTGCTCACTCTGCCTGTCCCTGCCGGAACAGCTGGGTGTTCTTATATATTTCAGTCTCACCGTTTGTTAATAGCACTATTGAGTAATTCTTATAGCATACAATTCACCCATTTGAAATACACAGTTCAGTAGTTTTAGTATGTTCACATAGTTGTGCAAACATTGCCACAATTTCCCATGTTACCTTTGATAGTGAGCTTGAGAAGTAACCCTCAGACCTATGTGCTCCTAGGATGACGTGTGGGCACCTGCTCTTCTTGCCTGGGTTTCCTGTTTGATCCCTGCCGCTTTGGGCACAGGTCTCTCTCCCTGGGCCAAGCTGCGTTTAAGGCTGTACTGAGGAAGGCCTGTATCTCTTTCCTGCTTCAGTTCCTGCTAAGTGGAGAGCTGGGGTCTCTGGCTCTTTTTGATGTGGGACTTTTTTGGCCTACTGTTTTCAAAATTATGTCGAGAAGCTCCCGTAATCAGCCTCAGCCTCTATTACAGTGCCTGGCTTATTTTGGTCTGCTTCTTCACACCATGAACAATGTCAACCTTTGACACTGTTGCGTGGACTGCCACACCCCATGCAGAGACCTGAGAACTAACTGTACAAGGGTCTGGACAACAGATTTTAGCTAAGCCCTCACTTCGTGATCTGCTTCCTACTGGGGTCAGCTCTAGGTTCTGAGGGTCTCTGGAAAGTCAAGAGGATTGTGTAGTACCCTAGGAGTTCATTCAGGGTCCACAGTGGGCTTCCATAGCTTGGGATCAGGTGATCTTTTGGAGGAACTCAGACCTTTTCAGGCTTTGTCCTTGGCTCTCCTCATCGCCCTGAGAGCAGGCACAGCTGCTCACCCTGATTGATTCTGCTCAAACAGCTGATTCTGACTGGGCAGGAGAGCACAACTCATAGCTATGACCCTGTTTGTTCCACCTGAGCTCAGTCCTGTTGTTACTTCGTCATCCCTACCCTTCCTGTAGAGGGGCAGAAACTCTTCCTCATCCCAGAGGGGCCTCAAGCCATTCAGAGCCACAGAGGCTCCTTCCATGCCCCACCCTGAGATTTTCCTTTCCCAGAGGACAGGAGGGCAGAGGCCAAGCTCCCTCCTCCTCTGCAGCAGGAGGTAGTAAGAGGGGAGGAACCTGGGCCCCAGGGGAGGGGACACTTTTCCCCCCTGGCTCACCAGCCTCTTACCACAGATGACCCCAAAGACATGCGACCACTGAGACTGAGAGACCTGACTTTTGTCAGCAGTGCGGGAGGAGAGAGACTTCGGAGGCAGAGAAAGAATCGTTGTGTTACCTGAAATTGAGTTTGGGACTGGGATCATTTTGAATCCTAACTGCTTTAGCTATGCTAAGTGAATCAGAACTGAAGTGGAAAATGTTCTTGAGCTTATATTTTGGACACAAAGTGTGACTAATGATGCTTAATTCCACTTATAGGAGTGGCAAGGCATTTACCATGCCAAAAAGAAAAATGGAGATAATATACAACAGAATGTGAAGATAATACCTGTCATTGGACAGGGAGGGTAAGTGGGAAGCAGATGCTTCAATTAATAGTCCATATTTTGGGTTATTCTATATTTTGCTTTAAATACTTAGGTAAGTTCAGAAGTGCTTGCAGGAGTTTAAAAGGCTGTGACAAGATAGGTGCTATCATAGGCTGGCCTCTATGCTATCACAGGGGTAGCATTTCCTTGATGACTTTCTCTCTGCCACAGTCTGGCTCTAACAGTCTTTTTTAAACTGCATGGATGCACAAGGAATGGAAGTATTTACATTCAAATCAGTGTGTCAGCTTTTTAAGCTGTGTGATAAGAATGCTGACTCATAACCTCTCTGCATTTAAAAAATTTTTTAGGTAGTCCATGCACTGTTTCCATAAGGCTTATCAAACTAGATAAAAATATTTTGAATACTAACAGAGAAATCCTTATGTAAATGTGTACAGACTGGAAATCACTGTATATCAGAAGCCTAAAAATTTCAGAAAATTTGTCTCAGAACCTAATTGAAGTAATATGGGAAATGGGAAATTATGAATATGAATTATAAACACTTAACAGTAAATATGCAACCATTAAAAAATGACAAGCATAGAAAACTGGACTATAAAAAAAAGCTTACTTATACTCTGAGTAACTAATACAGTATATTACCTATTATTTTCATATTATTTTGTTATGAAATTTTATTTTATTTTCATATAAGATAAAAAAATGGAAAGGTTATGATTATAACATTAAATGCAAGAAATCAGACCTAGTGTATGATCACAGCCATGAAAAGGAAAAGAAGAGCAGGAGGAAGCCAGCACTGGTCGGTCAGGGACTGATGCTGTCCTCTGCACCTGTCCCACCCCTGTTGGGCTTCCTCTCATCACACCTGCAGTGCTGCAAGGGTGGCACCTTGCTTGTCTCCATTTAATAGATGAGGAAGCTGAGGCTTGCAGAGCTTCGAGCTCTGGCCCTGGCCTGGCCTGCCGTGTGTGGTGGCACTGGGTGCAGCCCTCCACGCTGAGCTGACAGCATTGCTCATGTGCTTTGTCACCCGGCTCTGCTGCCAGTTGGTGATCGCCTCCGGCCGGCGGGTCTGTGTGGGCTCTCTGTTCTGGTTGTTTGCCCTTTTATGTCCTTTCCAAATTTTTTGCGATAAGCGTAGAGAGCTTTGATTATCAAGGGGGGGAGTGAAAAAAGCTGAAGGGACAGTAAATGGAAGAGTCAGCAGCGCGTGAGCTCAGCCCTGTTGTGTTGTTTGGATGTCTCGCCAGCCCCAGTGAGCAGAGCTGCAGCCCCAGAGAGCCTGTGGCTGTGTCCATGAGTGACTGAGCAGATTGCTCACCAGCCCTTGGGGACAAGTGTCCCATGAAGGCTGTGGGCAGGAGAACATATGAGGCAGCTGAAGGCTCTTGGTTGGTTGGTGTGCAGCACAATTTTTTTAAAACATGACCTTTTATTCTCTCTTGTGATGACTGGGGAAGGGTTTTTATGTTTTACTGAAGTTTTTTCTTTTCTCCAGAGACAACAGAGGATGTTTATGAATTCTCATGCATTATTAGTGTCCTTGGCTCCCCCCAGGAGGGCATCTTATGTATTGTGAAAGGGAGATTCTCTTTTCATAATAAAAAAATTAACCACATGGCCATTAAATGAGAGTTGGGAGAGATATAATTCATTGTTTTCTACTTGCAGAAAAATTAGACACTATGTGTCTATTATCCGAGTGTGCAATGGAAATAATAAGGTAGGTAAGGCGCATCCTGGGATGGGCACACTCCAGGGAGGTTTGCAGTGAGAACTAATGGCTTTTAACATTCATCTTTAGGCTGAGAAAATACCCGAATGCGTTCAGTCTGACACTCATACAGGTATGGTATCCCTATTCCTTCTTAGTGTTTGTTAAGCTTTTGGGAAACAAAATGAAAACAAATCCTTCCTGTAACAAGCTCACCTGGTGCCGTGGTGGGACCCCACTCTCCTAGCACCATGACAACCCAAGGTGGTCAAGAAGTTGAGGACCGAGTGCTTGGGGCGTTTCTGCAGGTGCCCTACAGGGGCTGCAGCCTGAAGAAGAGAACCATGCAGTCCAGGGGGTGCCTCTTGTGAAGACATGTTGTGTGCCGCCATACCCAGCCATTCTAGGGATATTTACTGTGTGTAAAACTGTTAAAGGTACTACACTAAGTTATACATAGTTTATTTACCTGAGGCCCTGGAGTAAGCCAAGGAGGTAGGGATTTAACAGGTGAAGTACTCTTTACAGCTAAGAAAACTGCCTGGCTGAGTAACTTTTCCAAGGATGTCCATAGAGGAGTGGCAGCGTCCACAGTGGTTCACTCCAGAGCACTGAAGCATGGGCAGGGACAGTTCTCACAGGTTCTCCAGGGGCGGTGCGCAGACACAGGGATGAGAAGTAGGAGCAGCCTGAGAAAGGCCCCGTGGGGCTGTGGGACTCATAGGAAGGGGATGCTCCACACAGGAGAGATGGATTTGGATGGGAAGAAAAGTGTGGAAGGAAGAGTGATAAAAACAGGCACAGTGGAGGGAAAGTACGGGGTGTGTTCTAGAAAGAACAAGTATTAAATATAGAAAGGTAGAAAGGGTACATGGTAGAAAGGGTGAGAGGGAAAGAGGAGTTTGGCTCAGTTGTGCTCCTTAGCTGCTTGGTAGAAGTGAGGCTGATCATCTCTAGGCAGTGGAGTCTGAAGATTTCCGAGGCAGGGAAGCACACTCAGACTTGGTGGGAATGTCTGTGGCTGAGACGCTCTTAGATTGTGTTCAAACAGTTACTGTAGAAAGCGGGTCAGCCTTACAGTTGAAAGGAAAGAAAACCCTGGCTGGGAATAATAAGGTGGAGACAGCAGGAGGCAAGAGGACAGCAAGACAGGCTGATGGTGTAGAGCTGGGGAGGAGAGCGAGCAGTCAGGAAGATGTTTGGAGCCAGAGAGCAGGGTGTGGAGTGGAGTGGACAGTACGTCTGTCTGTCCATTTGCTCCTCCACCATGGTACGGATTTCTGCTGAGCACCCTCAGGCAGTGCTTCCTGTGCTCTGCAAAGAGGTGAGAAGTAGAGATGCAGCTGTTTCTGCAAACTTCCCAGATGTGAAACTGATGAACTGGTGCCCAGGTAGAAAGGGGAGTGGAACCTCCGGAGTTACAACAGAGGAGCATGGCAGGGCCAGGAGCAGAGGGTGGACCAGGTTATGGAAGACCACCTCGCTGGGGGAGGGAACCGGAGCCGGGCAGGAAGAAGGAGCCTGGGGAATGCGGGCGGGAGCTGGAGAGACTTGGGCTGCACGCTTTTTTCTTTCCTTTTTTTTTTTTTTTTTTTTTTTTTTGGTTTTGTGAAATAGGGTCTCTCTATGCAGTTCAGGCCGCCTTGAACTCACTATGTATGTAGCCCAGGCTGTCCTTGAACTCGAAGCAATCCTCCTGCCTCAGCCTGCCAAGTGCTGGGATTATAGGTGTGCACCATCATGCCTGGCCTGACTTCACACTCTTAAATGTTTCCCTAGGGGCTGTATTTTTGGTACAGTTCCACATGTTGCTCTGTGCTTAATTTGAGTCTCTGCATACACAGCTCTGTCCAGAACAGTAACAGAGGGTCAGGAACAGCTTCCCAGAGCTCTGATGTGTTGAAAAACATATGTACACTGTGTGCAACAGTCTCGATGCTTTTATAGATATTGAGGTGGTTCTCCACCATCAGCACGCGGTTGACTCTCTTGGCATAGTAGTACGGCTGGAGTTCGGACTATCCCTCGCACCCAGTCGGGAGCTGTTGTACAGGGCTACAGGGCGAGGAGGGAGGGCCCCAGGCAGCCTGCGGGGGCGGACCTCCCCTGGCTGGGGCGGGAGGAGCTGGCAAGCAGTAATTTGGACAGGACCTGACTGCAGATGGCCTCGATGCGCTTTCTGCTTCACCAGCGCCGTATCGATGGTCTTGCAGGTGGACAGTTTCGAGGCTGGCCGGCCAGGTGTCAGCACCAGTAGCCACAGTAGCGGTAGCAGAAGGGACAGAAGCCGAAGTCCAGAGGGCGGCATGGGGGAGAGCACGAACAGGGCTGAGGTGGGATGGGGAGGTCCCGCCCCTGCTGGAGCTGGGGGTCTCCCAGGGAAAGGTAGGAGGGTCTTGGGGAAAACTGAGTCAGTCCTTAGGGGAGAACGAAGGAGGAGTCTGGGAGGCTCGGTCACGGGGTGTCTCAGTATCCCACGGAAAATATCTAGGTGGGTGAGATCTGGTACCAGAAGGGGGGTGGTCTTGAATGGGGGAGCTGTGGCAGGTCCGGGAGAGATCCGTCGCCAGAGACAGAGGGTCCTAGGTTGCGGGAGCTCGGGAGAAGGCTGGGGGAGGGTGGCATGCAGGGGGGTGCGGGCCAGGCCTGGGGTGAAGTCTTCGCTGGAGGCGGGGTTTGCTACTCCTGAGCGCTGGTCCGGAATGGGGACGCCAGGGGGACGCTGTGTCGGGGGTAGCCTGCATCAGAGGTGGTGAGCGGGGCGGTCTGGAGTCCGCAGGTCCTGCCGCCTCACGGGGCAGCGCTGCGCCAAGCTGTCTGCGTGTCTCCGGCTCTCGGCAGCGGCGGAAAAGTCTCAAAACTTTTTCCTCTTCGGCCAAACAGCTGGTCCTTCCTCCCTTCGTGTCCCCCCCCCCTCCCGGCAGTGGCAGTGTCGGCTAATCTAAGACCCCGGGGCCTCAGGCTGCTTGGAGGCTCCCTTCTCGGCTTTGGAAGGAGGCCAGGCCCGCGGCTCAGAGCCAGGGGTGCCCGGAGGGGGCGTTCCCCTGCCCCGGCAGGGGCCTCACAGTCGCAACATGAAAAGTTTTAAAAAATAAATGAAAAGGGGGCAAACGTGTTGGGCGTGTAGCTCAGTGTAACGGGCCCATGGTTCAATCTCCAGTACCATTAAAAAAAAAACCTTCCGTGGAAATTAAATCTGCTGCTCCTTCCACTCTTGCCACAGCCCATCCTTGGTCAGCATTGCTTTTTGCTTCTCTCTTGCCACACCTTGCTCCATCTAAACAAGTTTCTTCCTCCCTCCTTGTGGCCTTTCCAGAAAGCTCTAGCTCAGCTACCTCCTCTCTGCCTCACCCCTAGTGCAATCTGCCACTCCTCTCTCTGGACTCTTCCTGTACATCAGAACCACTAGGAAGCCTTGCCTGCCCTTGTCCCCCACAAGAGTGCACCCCTACACATGGACGGTGCATTATTCATCTTCACATCCCTAAAGTTGGAGTGCTCCTCAGCTTCCTATCACTAACAAAATACCTGAGATAATTAACTCCTACAGAGAGGGGGTTTTGTTTGGCTCATGGTTTTAGAGGCTTCAGTCCATAGAAAACTGACCTTGTTTCTTTTTGGCTGTGGCCAGGAAACATGTGGCAGGGGTGTGGTGGAGCAACACTGCTCTCAGGGCCAGGGAACACAGAGAGGAAGAAGGGCTTGGGGTTTCAGTGTCTCCCACCAAGCCCCACCTCCTAAAGACTCCACCACCCCAAGGACCAAGCCTTTACTACGTGGGCCTTTGTGGGATGTTCAAGATCCCAACTGTCATACCAGTCTTGGTTGGCATGAGGTAGGTGCCCAGTAAATGCTGCAGAACTGTGGGAGCAGAGTGCAGTTCACAGCGTTCTCACCAGGCAGCTGCGTGGATAGAAGTCAGCCCAGAGCTCAGAGAAGGGAGAGACACTGCATCTCCACAGGGGTGGAAGGCATTGCCCCTGAGGGAGCGCATCTGAGCTTGGCAGTGCCATGGAGAGCAGGAGAAGCGGATGTCAAGGCTGCTTCAGGAACAGGCAAAGCAGCCATACCCATGCAGGGCACAGAGGGAAAAGACTGAGGAGAGGGGAAGGGCTGCTGTGCAGGCTTGATGTGCCTGTCCTCGAATGTCGGGAAGTTAGTCTTCTGTCTGAGACCCTGGAGGATTTTGGGCAGGTACGTAGGAACACGTGTGTGTTTGCTGAAGCAGACGTACATTCACTGAGCAGTGGCTGCTCACTACATACAGTGCTGGTCACCTAGGGAAGACCATCCCTCCGGCAGTGCGCTTACAGCTGTCACCCCGCAACGGCTGGGGTGGTGTGGGGGCCGTGGAGGGATGGTGTCTCCAGGCCTGTGGTGCCTGCATTGTCCCAGGGCATCAGAACCAGCTAGGGGAGGAAGCTGGCAGGGGAGAGGTGGGTACCACACAAGGGACACAGGCCAGGGTGAGAGACTGGCACTCTGTAAAGACTTCATGACAGCTATGGAGAGGACTGTGGTGGCACACTGAAGAGCTGAAATCAGACCCTAAAAATTGATAAGCTGGTGGGCTGTGGCTGGACGAGCTGGTCGGCCGAGGGGCCATGACCGGGGCCACTGCTTCCCTCTGGAAAAGAGAGTGCAGTTCTGAGCGAGGACTCACAGGGGTCTAGGAGAACAAATCCATGGATCTGGCTGGCCAGCTGAGGGAGAAAAGGAAAAAAGATAATGCTGTTGAGTGTCCTGGAATTAAGAGCGGCTTTGGAGAAGGCTAAGTTCATTTTGTAGAATGAGTTCATTTGCAGGGTCCACCAAGTATCCCCTGGAGGTGACCAGCACCTCCGGGTGGAGGTCCGGAAGTGGAAGAGGCCTGGGGTGAGACTGCCACACAGGAGCTAATCAGAGGTGTGGGAGGAAGGAGACCTTTGAAAGTTGTGCTGACTGAGAAAAGGGGGGTGAAGGACAGAACCTGCGGAAACGAACCATTAGAAATACTGAGGGCGTGGGGCTGAAGAAGAGGGAAGGCGTGAAGGAGATGAGGAAGGAATGGTAAGGTAGAAGGGACAGCAGGAAAGTGGATTCTGTAGGCTTCAGTGCCTGGAAAGGGCTCAGCTGTGTCTCAGTAAGGGGGAGGTCGTGTGACCTTGACAAGGTCACTGCTAGTGCCACAAGGAGGAGGCCAGGCGAGGAAGCATCTGGATGGCGCCCGCACAGGTCCTCTGGGCAGAGGAGGAGGCCCTGTGAGCCTGTCAGGGAACCCCAGGGAGAACTAGCAGAGCGTCCACCCTGCACCCCACACACACACGTTGGCGCCATTTCCTCAGCTGTGAGACAGGGCCATGAGGTGCTCAGGGGACACCCAGTCTGTGGCCAGAGGAGGAGCAGGAAGCCTAGGAGGGCAGCAGCCTCCACAGAGAGCAGGCAGCTTCAGCTGTCTCTGAGCAAACCCCAAAAGCATTCCCACAGCACACTAAGAAGGGGAAGTTGTTCTTCAGATGTTGTCGAGAAAAAAATTTTATGGATGAGCAGTCAAAATCTCCACCATTTTGTTCAGATATACGGAAGCATACTAAGGGAATTCCTTGGCATCCCAGGCCCTCCTGCCATGTTAGTGCCTGTCTCTGGGTTCTGCAAAGCCCTCGGCTGTGAGCACACCTGGGGACGGCATGAGACAGTCACCCCTCCAACTCGAGTTTTTCAGTCTGCACTTCGGTGTGCTGTGCTGATTTTGTGTGTTCCAATTCTTAAGTTTGGGGTTTAAAAACACTTAGTTTGGTTTCCTTTGCCAGTGTATCTTTAACATCTGTTTGTTCTCACAGATAATCAGACGGGCAAACATAAGGACAGAAGGAAAGGCTCATTGGATGTCAGATCTATTTCCTCAAAAGGACATGAAGGTGAGTGACAGGACCAGAGAAGAGAGTGGCCCAGTGACCAGGCTGAACACAGCATCCGTCTCACCCTCCAGTTTCTCTCTGGTCACCCACACTTCACACTGTGGGGAGGGGAGAGACCTAGGCTCCACTCTGGGCGCTCTCATGAAGCCGGGGAATGAGGAAAACAACAGAGATGGTTATGACCACTGTTGTACTGATCTTCTAACTGAACAGCAGGGGTCATCAGCCCGTGCACTGTAATCATCCGAGCAGTGTGTTCGGTAATTCTGAAAGATGCGTTCCATCCTGCCCTGCAGTTTACTGTGGAAGCTGCCTCTTTTGAGAAGGGGTGAGCTGAATTTGGGAAATTTGAGAAACTCATTAAGCAGATATTTGTTTCCTGGAAATGTAATTGTGTAAAAGATGATGTAGGTTCACAGCTAAGGGACCTAGTTTTTAAGGTAATTAAAACTTTCTAGAGTGTAGAGGCAAACATTACTGCCTGCTTTGTGTACTCTCCGGCCCAAAGACGAATGAATAGGAAGGATACCTAGCTGGTGTCGTGGCTCAATGGGAAGCCAAGCTTTTCAAGGCGGTCTTGGCTGAGGTCATGTCTGCCTCAGGTGTGTGGAAGCAGGTGTGTGGCAGGTGTGTGGGAGCTTAGACAGTGCTGTGTGGCATCAGCTAGGCCTGCTGCCGGGGGCAGGGGTGCCAGCAGGGACACAGTTCAGCAGAATGACCTTGGCTCATGTCCCAGCTTCGTCTCCTCTTTGTGCCACCTTGCGAGTGGACGTCTGTCTCCCATTTTGATGTCTACACAATAGGGATAACTGTGCTGCCCAGGGGACCACGCGAGGCATGGGCATGTGGTGCTGGGACAGGGTAGGCACGCCTTGATGTCCACTGCCACAGTCCTCTTGCTCGGGATGGTCATGCTCACATTTCCGTGATCCATGGCTCAGGGCAGTGTGGAACGGGGTGACGCTGGTTTTACCCTGATGTTACCCTACTGCAGCTTCCACTAACCCCTTGGATTCCTCTGTACCTTCCTGTATTTTAAACTTGTTTTGATGTGTTGTTTTTAAAAATCATTTATAAAAAGTTATAATTTTTATACAGTAAAATTCAGATTTCAGATATTCAGCTCAGGTTTTGATAATGCTGTACTCCTGTAACTGCCCCCCATAGTAGACACAGAGTGTGCGGGCACACACACACGCATACACACACACACACACACACACACACCCCTTTCACCACACAAAGGCAAACATGATTTATTGTGCTTTGTGCAATTGGAGTCATCCTATATGCACTCTTACGTCAGACATGTTTAACTTTTTTTTCTTTTGGTTTTTGAGACAGGGTCTCACTGTGTAGTCTAGGCTGGCCTCAAATTCATAGCAGTTCTCCTGCCTCGGGTTACAGGCTTGCATCACCACACCTGGCTTCTTTCATTTGTGTTGGTGTTTTAGATTCACTGACATTGCTAGGCATATCAGTAATTCATCCCTTTGTTCATATTGTTCAGTGGTAGTCCCTATTGAGTGTACAGTTTGTCTGTTTGTCCACGTCCTGCTGGGCATTTGTGTGGTTTCCACTTGAGACTGTTCAGAGCAGGACTCCATGTGTTTACACAAATCATTTTTGGTGGGACGCAAGTGCTCACCTTCCAGCCAGGAGTACAAGGGACACAGTTCAGTGTGGGTCATGCTGTGTTACTTTCTGTCACTAAGCTATGGAAATACTGGCATTTGAAATTTTAGCCATTCTTGTAGTTTCAGTTTTAATTTTCCATATGACTAATGAGATTGAGCACCTTTTCCTACACTTGCTGCCTTTGGACATATCTTCATTTGTGAGGTGCTGTTAAGACTTTTGCTCATTTTTAGAATTGGGTTATCTTTTCCTGTTTTAAGTTTTTTTTTACATATTCTAGATATGGGCCATCTATTGGATATATATATATATATGTATGTATAATTGTTTTTTAGAAAAAAGTTCCACTGTGTAGTTCAGGCTGGCCTCAAACTCATGACAGTCCTCTGGCCTCAGCCTCCAGAGGGCATGTACCACCATGCCTAGCTATGTACGTATTTTCTTGGTCTGTAGTTTACCATTTGTTCTTTTAATAGTGTCTTTTGAAGAACAGAGGACCTTAATTTTATTTGTTTTGTTTTTTTTTTTGGTTTTTCTCCGGTATCGGGAACCGAACTCACGACCTTGCGCTTGCCAGGCAGGCGCTTTTGCCGCTGAGCTAAATCCCCAGCCCCGGAGGACCTTAATTTTAATGAAGCTTGTTTTATTAGTGTTTCCTGTTATGGCTTGTACTTTTTTTGCATACCACCAAAATCTTTCTCCATCCCAAGGCCATGAAGGTATTCTTCTGTATTTTGTTCTAAAGTTTTATTGTTTTATCTTCCATTTACAAAGGATGGTCTACCATATTTCACCATGTACCAAACTAATATCAAAATGGATCATAGATCTAAATATTAAAACAGAAACACTGAGTTTGCTGGAACATGAAATAGTTAAAAGCCTTTAAGACATCAGCATAGGCAAAGATTTTCTGAACAGAACTCCAGGGGCACAAGAAATATTACCAAGAATCAACAAATGGGATCATATCAAGTTAAAAAGCTTTTGCACAGTGTTATGGTTTGTGTCTGCATATCCCCCCAAATCCTCATGCAGTCATGAGGCAAGCTTCTAGATTTTTTATTGATCCATAGTCCTGTGCTGGGACTATAGGTGTGAGTGCTATACCTGCCCTGGGGCGGGTAGTTTGCATACATTGTAAGGGAGGGAAAGAGGCTGCTTGCCACCTCTGCTCCCTTTTGCTCTTGTTGCTTTTTGCTATATCTTCTGCCACCATAAACCGTTGCCCTCTGCCATGTGCCACTCTGCCTTGGAGCCAGCCGAGTATGAACTGAAACCTCCACAAACTGTGAGCTTAAACCTTTCCTTCCTTAATTTTGGGCAGCAGGTGTTTTGTCCCAGCAATGAGAGAAAAGTAACCAAGACACACAGCAAAGGAAACAACCAACATAATGAAGAGTCAAACTACAGAATGGGCAAACATTTTTGACAGGCATTCTGCAGACAGAGGACTAACATCAAAAATATATAAAGAACTCTAAAAAAAAGTAGGCTCCCCTAAAATAAAAGACCCAACTAAAAATGGGCAACCAAAATAAACACTTCCAGAAGAAGTACAAATGGCTAATAAATACATGAAAACATGCTCATCAGAGAAATGCAAATTAAAACCACACTGAGTTACTATCTTACCCCAGAAAGAATGGCTACCATCAAAAAATCTAATAACAAATGCTCACAAGGATGTAGGGCAAAAGGAACTCTATACTACGTTGTTGGTGGGAATGTAAACTAGGACAACCACTATGGAAATCAGTGTAGAGGTTCCTCAAAAAACTAAAACTAGAAATTCCATTGACCCAGCTATTCTTCTAGGTATCTTCCCCAAAGGACCATATTACAGTGATCCATGCACACCCATATTTATAGTAGCGCAATTCATAATAGCTAAATCTTGGTAGCAGCAAATGAATAGAGAAAATGTGGTGTTATACCTAGAGTACTGCTCTGTCATAAAAAAGGATAAACTGGAATCATTTTAGGAAAATGAATGCACCTTGAGGTCATAATGTTAAGTGAAATAGATCAGACACGCAAGCTTAAATACTGCATGGTTTCTCCTGTATGAGAAACACAAAACACACATAAAGAACAAAATAAAGATATAGAAAGTAGAGAGATAGACATTCAAATGAGGAGATCAAGAGAGTGGCGGGGGAGGAGAAAAAGGGAAGAAGAAAGAGTGGAGACGTGCAGTGTCCATGCACCAGCTCCACACAAGGCGTGAAATCATCACGTAATACAAGCACGCACTCATGAACAATTGAAAAAATATTTGTGCTCCATTTTAAATTAATTTTTATATCACTGAGGTAAGTAAGGATCAAAGATGAATTCCCTCTCCAGCTCCCATGTAAATTCAAATGATCCATCACCACACTGAAAACTCACCTTTGGCAGGAGCAGCATTATTTTAGACCAGGTGACTGGGAGGACGTGGTCTGTTCCCAGACTCTGCTCTGCTCCACTGTTGTGCTTGTCTAGGCTCCCTGTGACCTTGTATGCCTTGCTGGCTGGCAGTGTATGCTTGTTCTTCAGTTCTTGACTATTGTAGGCCTTTTGCATTTCCATATGGCACTTGGAACCAGCTGATTTACACACATCCTCTTGGGATTTTTCTTTTTTGGAGGGGAATACGTGCCTTGAATCTATAGATTAATCTCCAGATTTTCAAAATCTTAATACTAAGCCTGTCAAACTTTGAAGATGCTGTATCTCTGTTTGTTTAGGTCTTTTTGCTTTCTCTCACAAACCAATGTTTTGCATTTTCATTGTATAAATCTTATAAATCTTGTATTAGATTTATTCTTTTTTTTTTATTTTTGAGACAAGGTCTCACTCTGTAGTGCAGGCTGGCCATGAACTCATGGAATCCTGCTGGGATTACAGGAATGTGCCACCACACCTGGCAAACTTATTCTTATAGATTTTTATGCTATTATAATGATATTTATTTCAACTTCTAATTGTTTGTTGTAATATATAGAAATAGTGGATTTTTGTATATTGATCTTTTGTATATTGATTTCACCCTTGGTAAACTTAGCTGTAAGGAAAGCATTAGTAGATTCTGTGAGGCTCTCTATGTATAATCATGACAATGCTTATACCTGTTGTTTTCTTTTTCTTACCTTATTGAGCTTATGGTATGATTTTTTTCAAATTATTTTAAAAATAAAATTTTCCATTATCTATTTTAGTTGACAAAACTTACGTATATTTATCATATGTAACATAATGTTTTAAAATATGAGGGGGTGGGGATACAGCTCAATGGCACAGTGCCTGCCTGGCAAGTGCAAGGTTCTGAATTCAAGTCCCTATACCAAAAAATAAATAAAATATGTACAATTGTGAGGTGACTAAATTTAGCTAATGAACATGTATTAATTCGTCTTGGTTACTTTTGTTGCTGAGACAAAATACCTGACACCCAAAATTAAGGAAGGAAAGGTTTATTTAGCTCACAGTTTGTGGAGGTTTCAGTCCATACTCGGGACATGGCAGAGGGCAACAGTTTATGGAACACAGAAAAGCAACAAGAGCAAAAGGGAGGAGTGTGGGCAAGCAGCATCTTTCTCTCCCTTACATATGCAAACTACCCGCCCCAGGGCAGGTGTAGCTCTCATACCCATAATCCCAGCATTTGACCGTGGATGAATCATGAACTCTAGAAGCCCGCCCCCATGACTGCATGAGGCTTTGTGGGACATGCAGACAACAAACCATAACTTCCCATCCTTATCTTTATTTTTATGATGAGAAACTTAAATTTTTCTCTTAGCAGTTTTCAGTAGCATTAGGGTAACCATGCTGTATAGATCTGTGTTGTTTGACTCCTACATGCATGTGACTTTCATTATTTTTTAAATAAGTCTTTTTACGACACTGATTAAATAGTGGTTATTTTGGTTTAAAGACCTTGTTATATAAAATGGAAAGGTAACCACGTGCCAGTCATCAAGGTTTAAGAAGTTTTGTTGGCTCCCAGAGAGTAGACCACTTGAGACCCCTGGCCTGGCTCCCTGGGCACAGCGTTCCTCCTCCAGCCTTGGTTTCTCTGGTGACATCAGGCTGACGCATTGGTCTGCAGAGCAGGCTCTGGCCCTTCAGGCCTTTGGTGAGCAGCGCTGCTTGATGGTGGGGCGTCCGCAACACTCAAACCTCTGCCTGGCCTAGGCTCCCTCGTGGAGGAACCACATCTTGACAGGAGCAACAACAAAAATTAACTCACTTAGAACCTCAGAGCTGCTTCCTGCCTCGTTTAAGGCCTTTAATCAGCTTGGATTAAGCTGAATGATGAAAAGCACCCTCGGGGACTTGGAAAAATATATCCAACATTCATGTATTTCAGTTCATGGTGAGTTGAATTTATTGCCCCGCCATATACAAACAAAGAACCCATGGGGCATTGTTTTCCAGAATGGTTTTAGTCCTGGGGAGCAGCAAGTGAATAATTATAAGGCACAAACAGAGACTGTTACAGGCACAAACAGAGACTGGCCTTGACTTGCTGGATTGTCTCCTGTTTTCTCTCTGGCCTGTGACATCAGAAGTTCTGTCAGAGAGGACAAGTGCATCCTAGTGCCTAGGACAGCAGGAAACAGTTGCTAGCCGGGAGCCTGTGCCTTTCCATGGGAAGGAAGCTCAGTCACTGGGCAGTCCTGGCCCCAGCCCTTCCATGGGCAGCCGAGCACACTGAGGCCTGGGAGGCAGAGGTGTCACATGCCCTTGGCAGTCAGGATCTGTGCCCAGGGTTATACACACCCTGATCTCTGACCTCTCTCTCCACAGTTTCCAGCCAGAGACGACACTCCTCCATGGCCCGGATCCATTCCATGACTATCGAGGCACCCATCACCAAGGTGAAGCCATGGGTGGTCATTGTCCATGGAGCACATCTGGGGTGTTGGAAAGCTGCAGTCACAGTTGGTTGGTGCTGTGTGTCCCAGATTGGGGGTGTATGACAAGCAAGCTTCCACTTCACTTAGTACAGTGGCACTGTTAAGCACCCCTGCCACCTTGCCTCTTGCCTCTCTCCCGTGGCTTCTGAGGGTTTCTTTCTGTGCTGCAGGTGATGAACATCATCAACACCGCGCAGGAGAGCAGCCCTGTGCCGGTGACAGAGGCCTTGGACCGCGTGCTGCAGATCCTCAGGTCCACTGAGCTGTACTCACCCCAGTTCGGTGCTAAGGATGACGATCCTCACGCCAGTGACCTTGTTGGGGGCTTAATGTCTGTGAGTTTATCTGAGCAGGCCTCTGGTGAGAGCCTGTGTGTTCTTGTTTGTTTTCTCTGAGGTTCTGTGTTGAACAGAGCTCTCTGGCTGAGCTGTCATCCACCTCTCCTCTCCACCTGGGGACCTCAGCCTGGGCAGCGAGGGAGGACTGTATCCAGACAGTCTGCTGCTTCAGTTCTTCACTGTCACTTAAGTTTTACAAGTAATTTGTTGATATAAAACTTTCTTAGCATGGACGTGCACACTTGAGGCTGAAGGTAGAAGGATCACAGTGAGTTCAAGGCCCTCCTGGGCTACATAGTAAGTTCAAGGCCAGCCTGAACTATATAGTGAGTCCCTGATTTAAAAAAAAACAAGCAAACCAAAAAAGCCCCTTTCTTAGTTGTATTAAATATTTTGAAAACTGGAGCAGAAAAAAACCATACTGGATGTTACATACCAAATTGCAAAACAGGAAGACTCTTTCTTCTACTACATATGAGGCACCAAGGGGAGGGATGTGGGTCACACACAAATCACAGGAAAGAAAGCTGTAGGAGTGGCCACCAGCAAGGAATCTCGTGTGTGGTCCCCTGAGGGGACCTGGATGGCTCCCTAGCCCATCTAGAACAGAGCTCACAAGGGAACAGATTACCCCATTACTGCCTGTCAGCTGTTAACTTCTCAGAAACAAAATTCTCCTCCCTCCCAGCTGCTGCATGAAGTCACTGATTGCATAAGGGAAGGTGTTAGGTAGCAGTCTGAAAGGTAGAGTGGCTCCCAGCAGAGACCTTCGCCTGTGGCCTTGCCATCCAGGCCTCCTGATAAAGGTGGGCCAGGGCAGTGTCCTGGAGGTCAGTAGATGAAAGCAGCTGTGGGCAGGACTAGAACTGGTGGCAGGAGGGTTGTTGGGAAACTGAGATCACTTAGAAAGTGAGAAAGAATCCAGGGATCACAAGGAATCTAAATGATACAGGAGAAATATAACTCTAAACCTGTTAGATGACAGATGTTCCCAGTTCATGTCCCCCAAAATTGAAGATGAATTCCAGGGAACAGTGGGAGTTGAGAGTAGGAAAGGTTTATTGAGAGAGTGCTCAAGGTTTATTGAGAGGGTCTTCAGTGTTGGTTGCCACTGCGGCCCATTGTCAGGGGTAATTTATACAGCAAAATCACAATGTGGGTACAACGTGGGTCAAACTACAATCAGCCTATAGGATTACAAGTATAGCTGCTTAGCTGATATTGACCCAGTAGGGAAGCATTGCGTGTAGGAAGGTATGTGGAAAGAATAAAAGCATTTTTGGGAAGGGATAGATTTCTATGCTCTGGTCACCCACCTGGGCAACTGATGGGTAGCTGGATTTTACTGGACCAGGTGATACCAATTATAGTATAATTCTAAGTTACTGCTTATACCTTAGGGAGGCTTGTAGATGGCCACTGCATCTTTAGCTTGAGGCCTGGCCTTTCTCAGATGTGCCTCCAGCCACAATTCTGATGTCTTTATTTTTACTGAGAGTTCAGTCTCTCTCTGACAGTATATTAATTTCTAGCTAGTTTAGCCATCTATAATATTCCTCCCTTTGAAGAGCTATCCCTACCTGTGGTTAGGGGACAATGGGCAAAGTTTCAATCCAGCTGCTTTGAACTGAGAAGGGGCAGTGTAGGGGAGACTACAGTCAGGACCCTTTTCCAGAGAGCTAGTTAAGGGGCTTTGGATAAAACAGAGTTCAGCAGTTATGAACTCCCTTTACAAGGTTGGTCTGCTGGATCCCACTAAAAGGAATCTGGCATGTTGGTCATTAGTTGCATCTGTGAATCACTTGGAGTTTGGCACCCTCTAGGCAAGGATAAACAAACTACCAAGGGATTAAAGCACATATAGCCAAAGCATGAGCACTAGAATGGACAGGCAGACTGGGGGAAAGAGCCACATCCACACACAGCTCTTGAGGTACTGGCATAGTGATTGTAACCAGCTGACTCCTAGACCTCTCTGCTGATAGAGGTTATCTATAAGTCTGATATTTTTTGTCACAGTCTCCAGTTTTAGCTGTAAGAAGATAGAGAGTTTCAGTGGTTTTGAAGAACAATTTTAGCTAAGGAACGTAAAGGTTCTTGCTGAGCCTTTATAGCTTCTACTGTAGCTTTCTAGCTTCATTGAATCATAACAGTGGTCAGCTACAGGTGTAGCTGGAAACTGCCAGCAGGGATCAGTGATTAGAGTCCCCTTTCTATAGCTAGCCTTTATTACTATGGTATTATTTTTATATATCTTTGGTTATACTTTTCTGCTTGGTGTTTAAGACTAAGTTAAAGTGAGACCTGAGTTAATCAAAATTAACCTGTTGCTATCTATCAAGTTCAGTTAAGTCTCCTCAGGCATTAGTTTTGGGACCATGTACAGAGCCTCTCAGTTCCTCTGTCAGTGTACGCTGCTTGGATGGGTCATGGTCTTGCTTGATTATGTAGCTTCCTGTAGAAGAATAGAAGATATTTCTCTCTTCTTTATGGCACACTGTATATTGGTTGACTCCTATCCTCTAAGGTCCAACAGTCTCCCTGCTCAGGAGGTTGGGTGGCTCACCAAAGTTGTAGGATCCTATAGAAAAGGATCCCTCATCTCTTGGGTCCTTGTTAACGTTGGAGAGCCAGGGCCAAAATACTAGTTGTCCTCTCAGCCCAGGTATCTTTTCTAGTTCTGGTTTCCAAACCTCCAGATGTTGAACACCCAGAAAAAAAGATGATTGCATCAGTATTGCAGTGGGAGCAGAAGAGACATCGAGTTACTCATAGTCATACTTTTGAAAGAGATAAAGAAAATGAGGTTAGGCCACATGTGTGGTCTGGCCAAACCAGGTCAGAACTGCCCAAGCAGGCACCTCTGCCCTGTTTCCTGTCACTGGTCTAGGTATCCCTGTTTGTCAAGTAGGAAGGCTCATGTGTGGTATCAGTCTTAGAAGTGAGAGTTACAGCCTTTGTCTGAAAGCACCAGTTAGACCAGAGAGGAGATTTGGGACTGGGGAGGAGTGAGTGATGATCTGAGGGTTGGGGCCACAGCCCCAAATCAGTCTTCTTTGAGCAAGAAGCTTTTAGGAGGAAACAGCTTGGGCTCACCCAATGAACACAAGCTCAAAATAACCAAACATTCCTATTTCTTTTTATAAACTGCATCCTCCACAAACTTTTCTTGACTCACTTGAGCCTTCTAGTTTCACCACTAGTGCTCCTTTCTTTCTGACAGGGCAAAGACTTCATCATAAAAATCTTCTCACATCAAAAGTACATCTCCATACTTAAACTTTCCCCCTATTCTTTTCATTATCTTTCTTATTCTACTCTTTCTATAACTACCTGGCTGTGGCCATTGGTGAGGGGGGTGGCAAGACATGGAGGGGTAGGACCGAGGGCAGAGGTCATTGTCCCTGAGATTCCACCGTGGTCCTGCAGTGAGACAGGAGTGCTGGGCGTCAGGGGAGAGGCCCCCTTGAGCTCACCTCCCTGGTGTCAACCCTGCCTCTTGTGTCCTGTATCCAGCAGGCCCAGGCCAGGCGTGCATCAGGGTGCTGAGCTGTGCAGGGAGTGGCTAGTCCAGGCTGGCCACAGGGGCGACATGGGGACCTGCTGAGCTGGGTAGCCTTGCAGGGGATGGGGAGGTGGGAATGCCCTGGGCCAGCCACTTGGAGTTCCATGGAGGAAAGAATAGCAGTGACTTTGCTTTCTCTTGTTCCCTTTGGTTTTTATTAGGATGGTTTACGGAGATTATCAGGGAATGAATACGTTCTTTCAACAAAAAGTAAGTTTTTTGTTTTGATTGTTTTGGATCACTGTAATACTGTAGTCGGGGTTAAGTGATGAAAATAATTTCTCTCAGCAGCAAGAAGTTTCTCTGTGTGCCATAAAGTTTCAGAAACAGAGCAGCCCTGCCTGACTCAGTGCTGCTGTCTCTGAGAAATGGGTACAGCTGTCTACCCTATTAATCTTGTTCCACAAACCACGTCACTTTACAGCGTTCCATCAGGTTCCAGTCAGTGGAACCACCCCCATCTCCCTTCACAACATCCCGCCTCGGGTAGCTCAGGCCATGGAAAATGTAGAACACTGGGACTTCGATATTTTTGAACTGGAGGCTGCCACCCACAATAGGTGAGTCTGGGAGCTCTGCAGATGGCAAGCTGGCCTCCGGGGCCCGCGTGAGGCTCTCGCCGCAGAGGTGGTCCCTGGCCATGGGGGAGGCTGAGGAAGGAGGTGCAGGCAGCCTGGGCAGAGTTTGCCTGGCCAGCACAGGTGCAGCAGACTGTCGGGGCGTGCATAACTGAGCGGGGTTTATCCTGTGAGGTGGGACACTGTTCCTCCTCAGGTGGCGATATACTGAGAGAGTGGTGCATAGCCCTCTCAGGGCCTGGAACCAAAATGCTTTGTAAACACACACACGTAGATGAGAGCAGTGTGGTTGGGAGCTGAACCTCTCCAGGGCTTGGGATGCTTTACCTTGTTCTTGGCATCATTTTTATACTGTGACTGTTTTTCTCTGTAGGCCACTGATTTATCTTGGTCTCAGAACATTTGCTCGCTTTGGAATCTGTGAATTTCTAAACTGCTCCGAGTCAACACTGAAATCTTGGTTACACATTATTGAAGCCAATTACCATTCTTCTAACCCCTACCATAATTCCACACATTCTGCTGATGTGCTCCACGCCACCGCCTACTTTCTGTCCAGGCAGAGAGTAAAGGTGAGCCCGCGCCGCACTCTGTGTCCAGGCTGGGCTTCCTGCCTCCCTTAGAGGACGGATCTGCCATCGCTGGCCACTTAGGGTGGCCACTCCGGTGCAGCCAGCACACAGGGTGCGGTCACCCCAGAAAGCAGGCAGGAGGCCATGCTGGAGCTCAGGGGATGGCTGCCTTGATTCCTGACCTACTCCTAGCCCTTCTCCGGGGCTTAGGAAGCACAGTTGGTTCTTGGGGAGAAAGCCAGGAGGGCTGCTTCTCTGGGCTGTCACTGAACTCGCAGGCGTGCATGCTCAGATCACCTGCACGGCCCCTTATTGGCAGCTACACTCGACCTTGGGTCAGCGGCACTCTGCACCCAACAGGGTTATCCGCGGGAGCCAGGGCTCCAGTGTCCACCCAGAGCTCCAGCTTGAGACCTGGAGTCCTTTGTGGTCATCTGCCCCTCTGCCCTCAGTGTCTGGCTATGTCTGGCCTTCCCTCCTGTCTGACTCATGTCCTGGTGAGACCCTGGCCTCCTCTGCACTCACTCACTGCTACAAGTGCACTTTTTGGGGCAACCCCATCTCCCATGGAGCTCAAACTGTAGAACTTCCCTGGGTGGGGGTCCCGCCTCTCCACACTCACCAGGAAATGAGCTCCTCCCCCCTCTCCCTCCCTGTGCCCCAGAAACTGGACCACACCACTTCGGAGGGATCAGGTAGGCATGGCTGCAGGCCACAGAGCAGGGCAAGTGTCCCTGGTCATGTGACAGGGGTCTAGAACACAGTGAAGGGTGTCATGTGGCCCACGGGACTAAGCCAGTGTTCACCTTCACCTGAGGGCCAGGCCTTCTCAGAGTGGGGTCTTCACCAGCCCATTCTCTGTTCCTTGCTCCCTCCAGTTCACTGGGAGTTGGCTGCTGGGGTCCTTGGATGGAACCAGAGCCTCACGTGTGCTAGGCAAGCGCTCAGCACCGTGCACAGCCCAGCCCAGCCCAGCCCAGCCCAGAGAGGGCTGCTAAGTTAGTGACAGAGACCAGGGGCAGGGAGGGACATCTGTGTCCACACAGATCAGCATGTAGCGAGCACCCAATTTTTGCTGTTATTGCTTTATCATTAGTCCATGTTTTCTGTACGTAATGATTATATTCATTATGGGGAATTGGTACATGTTTATTGCTTTTGAACTAGAGATACAAATATATTCAGTGCTGTCTTAATATAAGCATTTATTAAAATATAGTTCACATACAGTTTACCCATTTGAAGTTAAAACTACTGACTTGTAAGTCAAATTAACCTTTAAAGCTGATATATTACACATTTACCTTCAAGTGTCTATAGGATATTTTTAAATATGCTCTTATCCTAGGACATACTCTCATAAACTTCATAGGCCATATCTTCTAACCACTACAAAACTTGAATATTTGATGGTAAAATGAAAAACATCATCTGGTACAGTGCCATCTGCCTATAATCCCAGCTACACAGGAGGCTGAGGCAGGAGAATTGCAAGTTTGAGACTAGTCTGGGAAACTTAGTGAGACCCTGTCTCAAAAAATAAAAAGGGTTTGAGAAGTAGCTCAGTGTGAAGGACCTGAGTTCAATCCCCAGTACTAAAGGTAGGTGGGTAGATATGATTGACTGATTGCCACTACAAATGAAAAATACTTTGAATAAGTTTTGGATTAATAAAAAATGAAAAATTGTTTAGAAAACACAATGAGAAACCCATCTATCAAACGTATAAAATAAAGCCAGTGATATATTTAAGGTACATTGATATATTTAAATGCTTTCACTCCCTAAAGAGAAGAAAAAGAACATAGGAAGTACAAATAATAATAATCCAAAATGGTTCTTTGAAATCACCAAAGCAGTGATGTTCTACTCAAATTGAAAAATAAAACAGAGAAAATACATATATTTCATATGGAAAATGATACAAGAAAGTACTGTACATATCTGTATTCAAAACCTTAAAACAGGTGGTTTCTTTAGGGGAAAAAGGAAAGAATGTTTTAAGTAAACTGCGAAAAAAATAGGTCAGTGTCATCAAGACAATGTTTAAATTACCAATTTCTTCAAAACCTGGCTCTGAACCCAGATGCACAGGTAAATTCATAGCCATCGATGGCATTTTTCCATGTTATACAGACCTTTTCAGGACCTTGAAAAGACTTGAAAAACTTACAGATCTTTTATTACACTCCCAAAACCTTGACCTTAGCTTGACAAAAGGCAGCAACTCCAGAAGGAGGAAACTAGCCCAGTCACCCATTAATGCATATTTTAAAGGTTCTGTCTCTTATTTGGTAATGTTCATGTTGGTCTGAGTCAGCACCTGTTTTTGGTGATGGGGCTGTGGGAAGGCTGGCTGAGGTGGTGACACCTCCTGTGTTTTGGTAGCTCCTTACATTCTTGTTTCCTAATGAAGCACACAGAGACATCACTGCTTCAGAGAGGAGATGGAAAACGGTTTTCTCTTGAGTATGCTTTTGTTAGAAATCTGAGCTCCTTTAACCGTCAAGTACATTGGTTCATGAGCTTTCATTTGTTCTCTGGTTTTGGAAAAGACAGCCAGTTTGTGTTTCTGTGGGAAGATGGCCGCAGGTATGTTTGTCACCCAGTGCAGTTCACAAACAAAAGCAGTTTGCCAAATGCTTCTGTTTGTGAACCAGATTGTTTGCAAACAAAAGCATTTGTGAGCCAAGGCACCGCTGTGCAGGGCAGAGAAAACTGCACAGTAGGCTTCCTTGCCTGTGCCATCCATCCCTGGTATTAAAAGATCTCTCGCTTTCAGGAAACTCTAGATCCCATTGACGAGGCTGCCGCGCTCATCGCAGCCACCATTCATGATGTGGACCACCCTGGGAGAACCAACTCGTTCCTATGCAACGCGGGCAGCGAGCTGGCCCTGCTGTACAATGACCTGGCCGTGCTGGAGAGCCACCACGCGGCCCTGGCCTTCCAGCTGACCTTGGGTGACGACAGGTGCAACATCTTTAAAAACATGGACAGGTAAGAGCAGGGCTGCCAGTGTGTGGGCCCCACCGCTCTTCCGCACAGCTTTATTGGGACATAAGTTACACACCCGGCACTTCTCTCATGGAGAGTGGACAGTGGCTTAGTCACAGCTGTAGAGCCATCACCACACCAATTTTAGAACAGTTTTGTTACTCCCCCCCCCCAAAAAACCCAGGCACAGCCCCTCCTCATTCTCCCAGTTTTCCCAGTTTTCCCATGCTGGGCTGCCAACCTCCCCCTTTCCATCTGTGCCCACTTAAATCTGTCAACCCTGGACACTCGGTGTGAACGGATGCGTATGCACATGGCGGTCCTCTGTGACTTGGTTCTCTCAGCATAGTGTCCTCAGGCTCAGGCCTTTGGATTTGACATCCAGGGCATGAAGCACAAACTGTAACCTGAGCTCATAGAGACCAGAGACACCACGGCCCCGCACCTGCCTGAGCGCTCCGGAGCCATCCGCGCCCAACCGTTCAGCTCTGAGTCCCTCCATTACACAGGCTTCATTTTTTAACCTACATTCTTAAACTTTCTTCTGTGGGGCTGGGGATATAGTACAGCTCAATGATAGGGCTCTGATCCAGCATGCACAGGCCCTGGGTTCCATCCCTGCACCACACACATAAAATGTTCAACATCTGACTAGATTCTTAAGCTGTGTCAGGCCTCAGGGGTCTTGTGTGTGTGTGCATGCATGTGCGCGCTTCTGTAGTACTAGGGATCTGACCCAGGGCCTTCACCCTGGGCTGTATCTCAGCTTTTTTTTAATTTTTTGAGACAAGGTCTAAATTGCTGAGGCTGGACTCAAACTTGTGATCCTCCTGCCTCAGCCTTCCACAGGGCTGGGATTATATGTGTACACCGCCATGCCAGATTTCATGTGTCTTTTGTTCATTACTGTACCCTGTGTCTAGCCCAGTGCCTGGTAGGAGGTAGGTACTTAGTACATGTCAAGTGAAGAGAGCAAGTGTCATGAGGAGTATTTATTTTGGATTTTAAGGGAAGTTTTATGTGAGATTTTTAAAGGGTATCCTGATTTCACAAAATTCCCTTCTGCTGTGTCCAAGGATTTCAGAGGTATACTTACATTTTATTCGTACTTGCTTAGAGATACATCATTTTTCCCTGGAAGCATATAAGACCCTACTAACTTGGGTTGTCTTGGAAATGGAATTGAATGAGTTAGAAAGGGGGTGATTGGAGACTTTGCTTCATACTCTTTTGTACCATTTGAATCATATGGATTGCCTCTTGAAAAATGAATGTGATCATTATGGATATCTAAAATGTACCAATAAAAATCTAATTAAAAGAAGAATTTTTGACCTGGCGTGGTGGTGCACACCTATAATCCCTAGCCCTCGGGAGGCTGAGGTAGGAGGGTTGCTGCACATTCAAGACCAGCCTGAACTGCATAGTGAGACCCTATCTCAAAAAACAATTTTAAGCATATTAAAATGAAAACAAGGGCTGGGGATATAGCTCAGTGGCACAAACGCCTGCCTGGCAAGCGCAAGGTCCTGAGTTTGATTCCCAGTACCAAAAAATAAAAAATAAAATAAAATGAAAACAAGGTCCAGATGACGAGGTCCAAGTACTCCCTGTGATTTCTCACCTCTCCAAAGTTCTGCCCCCAGAGTTCACTGGGCACTAAAACAATTAGGTGTGGAGGAACCTCCGCACGGGGTGCTTCTGCGTGTGTGGTGGTAGGGGTTGGATCCAGGGCTTTGGGTTCAGTAGGCAAGTGCTGCTATGCCTGCATTAGATTCATAGCCACAGGCCACATTCCTAACGCAGGGGGAGGTCTGTGGTGCTGAGGAGAGCAGTCTTTGTTTTCCCTATGACACACAGCCTCTCTGCTCTCCCCGCTTTGTAGTTTATTTTGAGACAAGGCCAGTGCCCAGACTGGCCTTGAACTTGCAATACGCCTGCCTCAGCCTCCAAGTGGCTGTGATTATGGCATGCGGCCCCCCTCCCCAGGCCAGGCCATCCTGTGTTCTGGGAAGTGCTCGTCACCTACCAAGTGACAGGGTGGACACTGCAGCCCTAAAGCTTGGCCCAGAGGCTCTGACTTCAGCGTCCCCTTGCTGTTGGTCCAGGCATGGGCCCCTCCCTTGCTCATTCTTTTAAAGTGTGACTTCAGAGGCTTAGACCTGTAGCCACAGTGGACAGGCAGCCTGGGCAGCAGACGGTTTCCCGGCCTGTCGGGTCTGGATCGTAACCTGTAGCAGCCGCCTCTTTGCCTTCTGCAACAGGAATGACTACCGCCTGCTGCGCCAGAGTATCATCGACATGGTCCTGGCCACAGAAATGACGAAGCACTTCGAGCACGTCAACAAGTTTATCAACAGTGTCAACAAGCCCTTGGCGGCACTGGAGGAAAATGAGGTAAGGGCCTTGTATCAGGGAGACTGAGACTGGGGCCTTCACACCCCCTTAGGTGCAGAATGTGGGTGTCCCCACCGCTCCTAGCCCAGCTCAGCTGCATAGCTTTGGACGGATCACCTCCCCTGCGAGGGCCAAGGTTCTCATCTGTGAACTGATGTCATAAGATAACGATGGTACTTCCCATGTGAGCCCTGAGACCTTGTGAGTGCCAGTGAAGAGACAGCAGCCTAAGTCCTTTGTCTGTGAAAAACGTTCGAGCCTTGACACAGCGATGATCTAGGACCTCCAAGTAATATATATATATATATATATATATTTTTTTTTTTTTTGGTTTTTCTCCGGTACCGGGAACCGAACTCACGACATTGTGCATGCCAGGCAGGCGCTTTTGCCGCTGAGCTAAATCCCCAGCCCCTGACCTCCAAGTAATATAAGGGAAATATTACAACTCCCAACCTGCTAGATATCTGATACACCGAGTTCGTGTTCTCAAAATCAAAGAGTGAATCCTAAGGAACAAAGAAGGTTAAGAGTCCAAAATGTTGAGGGGACAGATACAGCTCCTGAGAGGCAGGAGGGGCCCAGGTAGGTTGCTAAGGACCGCACTTCTCAGGAAGTTTTATAGAGCACAGCAGCCTCATGGGTACAACGTGGGTGACAGCTGTGATCACCCAGTAAGGTTACAAGTATAGCCACCTAGGTAATGTTGATCCAAGAGGGGAGCAAGTCACGTAGCCAGTGTACATGGAAAGAACAAAGAACTTTTCAGGAAGGGATGAGTCTAGGGGTCTTGGTCACCAACTGAGGTGACTGATGTCTGTCTAGACTTCATTACCAGGTGATACCACCTGTCTTAGGCCTGGTCATTCCAGACCTTGAGATCTGGCCCCCAACAGATGCACCTCTGACCACGGTTATAATGAGATTTCATCTTCTACACTGAGTTTCGAGAGCCCAGGCCATCTGTCTGACTGGCTATAATACTCCTGCCGGACTCAGCTGTCTGTAACAGTGTGAGAGCACATCGCTTTATCTGTGTGCGGAGGGTGACTTCCCAAAACCGCACCTGTCACAGGGCAGGGCTGTGAGAAGCAGGGAGAGTGGACCACAAGGGCTCTTCTGTTGTGAGGACAGAGAAACCTTTGTGTTTGGTCCTTGCTCTTTCCTAGTAAATACAATAAAAAGATAAAACCAGTCTGAGTTCTTAGCAGGTAGAAGAGGAGGTAGCAGAATAGAAAGGGAAGGCAGCTCTGCCACCCCTTCTGCTCCTGCGGCCCATCCTGCCACCCTCAAGCAGAGCTGAAGCCTCTCCACTCTTCCCAGCCCCACAGGAAAGGCTGGCTGGAGGACCCCCTGGATTGCTTTCAGTTCCACTGCTTTTTCAGGAAACCGATAAAGACGAGGAAGCCATCTCCGCTCTGCTCAGGGCTCCAGAGAACCGGATGCTCATCAAGCGCATGCTGATCAAGTGTGCAGACGTCTCCAATCCCTGCCGGCCGCTGCCGCAGTGCATCGAGTGGGCTGCACGCATCTCAGAAGAGTATTTCTCTCAGGTCAGAAGCTGCCTCTTCAGCCCTTTCACACACACAAACCTCAAAAGATAGTGCACTTAAAGCTAAAAAATAGGATTCTGAAAGAAAATGGTCCTTAAAGATCATTTCTTGAATTGCACTTTTCCTGATAGTGAATTCTATTTGATTTTCCTTCCCTGAGAATGTGTCTGTCAGTCTTCGCAAACAGGATACTTTTTTGCTGGGTATAGAATCCTGGATTGACAGGTTTCTCCTAAAAGAACTTTAAGGGAGTCATCTGTCCTTTATCTTCTGGGACAGAAAACAATGTTAGAAAGAATTTTTTGAATTCGGTAACATGCATACAAAATGAGAAGCCCAGTGAGGTCTAACACGTGTGAGTCAAGTCATAAGCAGCTCCAAGTTGAAGATAAAGAATAAGTCTCAAAATCAGCCCCAGAAAAATAACTTGTAAAAAATATGACTCAGGTTTTCTGATTTCTCATGAGAAATTCTGAAGGCCAGAAGTCACCAAAACATCATCTTTCAACTGCTATTAGAAGAAAACTGTCAACCCAGAATGCTGTATCCACTGAAAATATCCTGTAAGGGTCAAGGCAAATAAACACATTCTCAAATAAGGAACAGCTAATAGAATCCATTATCTGTAAATTTACAATACTAGAAATGCCAGTGTGAGTTCTTAGGGCTTAAAGGAACTGATCGCAGGTGTGAGCTTGGATCTCCAAGAAGGAATGGAAAACACCAAAAATGGTCAGTAGCTGCATAACTATAAAAGACTTCTTTGTTCTCTAAATTTCTCTAAATACATATTGCTATTTTAAACAAAAGTTCTAACACTGCATTGCAGGGTGTATCTTAAAGGTACATACCTTTAAGATAAATGACAGCTATGGCATAAAGGGAAAGAGAAGGTGAACAGACTTATATAGGTCCAAGGCTTCCATGTTTGACCCGAAATGTCAGTTAGCTCAGTTATTTGACTCAGAGTCACATGCAAAGGGTGCATATTGTAATCCCTAGAGCAATCGCTGTAGTTTAAAAGCTACTAAACCTAATACAATATAGTAAAATAGCACAAAGAAGGCAGGAAAGTAAAATAGTAAAATGGGAGCTCTACCTATGTCAGTCTCGTTCAGTGTCAGTGCACTAAAGACTCCCATTAAAAGAGTTCATTGGAATGGACTTAAAAAAACAACCCAGGGGTAAGATTGAAGTAGCCATATCAGTATCACACAAAATAGACATCAAGACCCAGTGGGACATTGCCAGACAGACCCTTCACAATGACAAATATATATGAACCTAATATCAGACTTGAAAATGAATGAAGCAAATTTCACAGAGAGAAATAGGCCGTTCTATAATCCGAGATTTTAACGCCTCCCTTCAAGAGCTGATGAAACAGCCAGATGAAGATATCAGTAAAGACACAGATGATTTGTACAACACCATCAACTACCTCAGGTAGCATTTACAGAACAGTCTTTACAGATATGCACTCACCAGGGTAGAGCCTGTGCTGCCCCCAGAAGACTTCAATAAATTGAAAAGGACTGAAATTGAATGGGTATGTTCTCTGACCACAGTGCAGTTAAGTCAGAAAGCTTTAACAAGGTAGCTAGGAGAATACTGTACCACATATTTAGAAACTGAACACCACACTTCTAAATAACCCATGAGTCAAATATAAGGGAAATTAGTAAAATGTCAGAATTGTTCAATACATTAAAACGGCATTTAAAGGAAGGTTTATAATTTTCATTAGAAAACAGGAATGCCCTAAAGTTAGTGATGTAAGACTTCACCACAAGACACTGGAAAAGGAAAAATCCAAAGGAAGCAGAAGGAAGCAAAGAATGAGGAAATAGCCAGGCATGGTGAGGCACTCTTGTAATCCAGGCACTCAGGGCTGAGGCAGGAGGATCAGCACAAGTTCAAGGCCAATCTGGGCTACGCAACGAGACCTTGTCTCAAAAAAAAAAGAAAGGAACTAGAAAACAGTTAAAAAACAGATTCCAAAATTGATTCTTTGACAAAAATTGGTAAATATAGCTGGACTCATTGAGAAAGCATAGTGAGAAATGAGAGCGGGTTTGTCACAGTCTCACAGATACTACAAGGGGGACTGGGGCTCAGGGTGTAGCACAGCGTGCAGCACCAGGACTGCAAAAATAAACGGCACCACTAGGAACAAAGTTTAATAGTACAAATCAGACAACTTCAATGAGGTGGACAAATTCCTTGAAAACTGTATTCACCAGAACTGACAGGAGAAAAAATAACCTCAGTAAACCCATTCAAACCCATTTTAAAGAAAGACTAAGAAAGTAGAAAAGTCTTTCCTACAAAGAAAACTAAGCAAGGAAAAAATTCCAGTCTTACAGATGTTATCAGAAGGTAGAGTGAGGACATTTCCCAGCTCACTTTATGAGGCCGTGCTTACCCTGTTCCCCAGGCGAGAGCCACAGCTGTTACCCTCAGGAATGTAACCGTGCAGCGTGCAGAGGAAGCTGTGTCACCAAGCAGGGGCTCCTGGAAGGCACGCCTGGTTTCATACGAGACAAATCCATTGCTCTAATTCACAGTACTAATTGAATAAACATGAAAAACTGTAAGATTATTTCTGACAGTACAGTAAAGGCATCTAACAAACTTAGTGTCCATTCACCATACGAACTCTTAGCAAACTGGGATGGAAGAAATTACTTTAAAAAGAGCACCTACACAGTTGCCATTATATTTTCTAGTCATATTGAATACATCGTCCCCAAGGCTGGGAATAAGGAGAGCTGCCCAGCCATTCCCAGCACTTGCCAACACGGCGGCAGCATTGCCCACACTAGCAGCAGATGATCAACAAATGGGACTAAAAACACTGTCCTGATTATAATAGCAGTAAGAGGCAAAAATGACTGAGGAATAAATTGAATAAATGACCAGGCCATTACAGTGAAAACTATACAAGGTTACTAAAGAATTTAAAAAGCACCAGAGAAGAGGGTGCCGTCCGCCATGCCCACAGATGAAGGTCCCTGCTTCCCAGACTCATGACCTCTCAGTGCTGTCACAGTCCCAGCAGGGATTTGCTTGGAGTTTTTTTAGGAAAAACTGACAAACTTAATCTGAATTGTAGTGGCTCCATCAAGGACTTTGTATGCGCAAAAGCAAACTTGAAAAACAAAAAGTTGGAAGACCTGCACTAGCTGTCCTCAAAGCTTGAGTAATCAAGATAGTGTGCTACAGTCATAGGATAACAGAAACATCTGTGGAACAGCAGAGGACAGACCACATTTTAGATCATACACATACAGTAGTACCTTGGTTCACAAATTTAATTCTTTCCACAATTCTGGTCGCAAACCAAATTGGATGAGAATTGAATCAAATTCAGTGGTTAGGTTCAATGTTGACCTTCGGAGGAAATTTGATTCCCCTGATCGCAGAAGCTAAAATCAGAGCTGTTAAGAGAAAACTGCAAGAATATTCTCAGTGACTTAAAAATGGACAAAGATTTCTTAGGTCCAGGAAACAATAGGTCCTAAAAGACAATTTAATAAAATAGACCTCAACAAAGTTCAACAGTTATACCCAGACACAGCTACAAGAACAAGTAAATATTTTAGTAATCATTCCACAAAATATACTCTGGCCAGGAAGCACTTGCAAAAGTGCCTTACACCTTCAGTCAGGAAAATTCAAATAAAACCACAAGGAAATGCCACCACTTGCCCAACAGAGGCCGGAACATGCACCACCAAGTGGGGAAGTTACGAAGCTGCTAATGTGATGTGTCAGCCAGCGGCACGTAACATGCTGTGCTCGAGTTAGGAAGCAGATGAGCAGATTGTCCATGTGTGGTAAAATTTACCATTTCAGATCACGTTTTTGTTCTCTTAGTAAAGTGCACTACATTGGTTTTCACATGCTAACTGACCTTGCATTCCAGAAATAAATCTACTTGGTCATGGTGAAGAATCCTTTTAATGTACTGAGTCTGTGCTAATCTCTTGTTGAGGGCTTTTGCATCAATATTCAAAAGAGATTTTGACCCGTAGTTTTCTTGTAGTATCTTTGTCTCCTTTGCTATCAGAGTAATGCTGGCCTCCAGAAGGAGCGCAGAAGTGTTTGCTCCTGTTTATTTTTTTGAAAGGTTTTGAGAAGGATTGAGGTTAATTCTGAGTGGTTGACAGAAACCACCCGTGATGCCGTCTGGTGCTGGGCCCAGTGTGGGGAGGTTTTGGTGACTGAGTCTGTCCCTCAGCAGCTGAGGTCTGTCCAGCAGCGGGGAAGCAGCCCAGCCTTTCCCTCGGTGCCTCCCTTGTCTCAGAGCCCAAGGCAGGCGTGTAGGGCCTAGGTGGGGAAGATGGCTAGCGCTGACTCCAGGACTCTGTAACTCTTGAGGAGTCTCAGCAGCGCAGGTGGCCTTGCTGGCTCCTGGTCACCAGCCCTGCAGCTGCCAAGGGTGCCCTCTGGGGACGGGACCCCTGCACAGCAGGGCGGGGAGGCGGGGACCGGAGCCTGGTACCAGGTGTTTCCTGCTTTGCAGACTGAGGAGGAGAAGCGGAAGGAGCTGCCTGTCGTGATGGCGGTCTTTGACAGGAACACCTGCAGCATCCCTAAATCCCAGATCTCTTTCATTGACTACTTCATCACAGACATGTTTGATGCCTGGGACGGTAAGAAATCCCGCACCTCGGCCTGGAGGTGCTGGGAGCCGCATGTTCCGCAGCAGGTAGTGCGCTGCTGCTGGGGGCTCACACTGGCGAGAGGGACGGGAAGAAAGGAGCCAACCAGCGCTGGGTGTCCCCCGCCCCTCTTCCCTGCCCACACCCCGGTGTCTGTCTGTCTCCGCCTGTTCGAAGGGGGGTGACGGGGCAGTCACAGATTAGAAGGGTTAGGACTCCGGCCATGTTAACGCAGCACCCCATGCCCGGAGAGCGCTGTCTGCGCCACACGGGGCCTGCGGGGCAGAACCGGAGGAAGGACCCCGCTCCTCCTCCCTGAGGACAGGACACGGCTGCGCTCTGCGGCGTCACGCAAGTGCCCATGGTCTCTGCCCTCCCGTGTTCCACTGTCACCTTCGCCCAGACACGGGGCTGGCAGGCAGCTCAGGAGCGCGTGCTTGCCCACTGTGGGCGAGGCCCTGGCCCCGTCCTCAGCACCACAGAGAGAAGCCAGAGGCCTAAGCCAGTGAGCCGTGGCTGTGCGTGCTGTCACATCCCTTTCTCTCCTCCAGCCTTTGTGGACCTGCCGGATGTAATGCAGCATCTCGACAACAACTTCAAATACTGGAAAGGCCTGGATGAAAGGAAGCTGCGGAGCCTCCGGCCGCCTCCTGAATAGCACAGCCACCCAGTGCCCTGCGGCTTCACCTTCTTCACCTGGAATTCCCGAGGGCAGCCACAGTTTGGAACCATTGCCTCACCTCCAGAGCTGTGAGACACACAGGGACACAAGTGGCCTTCTGTGGCCACCACTCAACACCACAGAGTGAGCCTGGGCCTCAAGCGTGGCCTGCTATGGGGCTCCTCCAGAAGCCACTGAGAAGCAGCTTCGAGTCAGCCTTCTGTCCACAGCAGACCCGGGAGCCCCTGAGAGGGACCATGGGACTTTCTGCTGAGACAGGGACTGTGACACCAGCAACTTCTCAGCCCCGCCAGCACTTACAGCGAGTGGCAATCGGATCTTCAGCGGCCGTTTCCACATCGTACAGGGTGTGATCACTCGCTTTGGAACACTACTGAAAGTGACTTCTCTTTTCAAATTGAGTAGCAAATGAAACATAAAAAGAAATTTTGAAGTTGATTATTATCAATTATTAAAATGTTTTATTTATTGGAAATTCAATATTTTCTATGAATTTAAAACTTCAAAGCCAAAGCCAACTTCCAATGCCATGACCAAATTTACATGATTCATATTCATTAACCTGCATTACTTGGTGTACAGACTTATTTTCATAATGCAAATTTAAGATACTATCAAATGACATTTTATTGCACTATAGAAATATTTGTGTTTGTTAAACTCTTTTCTGATTGATGCTAATTGGGAAAAGCTGTCTTGTTAGTGAGTCTTTCTCTAGAGAGCTAAAGGAGGCCCTACTTACCATTTCCACTGCAGCCAAACGTGGCTCCAAAGCAGAGCTGAGTGTCTGACACATTCACTGGTGATGCCCAGGATAAAACTGTCCCCCTCTTGGTTTAGCAAAGAAAAATTGGATCTTAACTTTTTCCTAAAATTTTATAATTGAACTTCGAAAGTCTGCCTTATTTTATACTATTTCTATAAAATATTCCCTATGAAAATAAAGAGCAAACATGGGATATTTAATAAATTGACATTTTATAACTAGCCTGTTTTCATCCACAGTGGGAACCTTTGATTCCAGAAATTTGTAAAGATTCCGTACCTTCACATTTTGAATAAGGGTAATACCATAAAAGTGACACTTGATGACATGTCAAAGTGTTAGTTGTTTCATTTTAAAGTTATATTGTTTTTTTATTTCCAGATAAAAATGAAATTAAACTATTTGTTTTTAAGAAATCATTTTTCTTTGGAGTTTTGCTTTGTGATACTCATAATATTTAATCTTTTCTTTTTTATGTATAAAGAATATGGCTTTCTTTGGTATATTCTTAGTAGTTGAATGACTTTTCAAAGGTTGCGTGGGGCCAGAGGTGCGTATTACTGAAAATGTCATAGACCAATGTTTTTTCACCACGTGGTACCATTCGGAGGGCTCCAGCGCACAGAAAGCTGACCCAGGGATGCTTGGGATTGGGCCCTGGTCAGAGATGTCAGGATGCCATTGGAGGACGAGCAGGGCAAGTCCTTCAGGGGACACAAAGTCTCTTCTTTCCTGTGTGAAAATAGCTGACAAAAGATGAGAACTGTGGAGTGAGCTGAGAAGAAAGCTCTCTCGCTCCTCCAGGTGCCGAGAAAGAAAAGGAAGTGAGCTTCAGCAGCTGTTTCCACCGCTGCTCATCCCTCCGAGGTGGGTTCTCCGGCCCAGCACTCGTGGCAGTGATATCCGAGATGTGCAGGTGAGGCAGCCTCACAGGTTTGCAGGGGCAAAAGAAGCAATAAGAGCTACAGAGTCTCCTGAGGGAGTCTCCTACGGGAGAAGAATAAAGACTTGGAAAAGAACCACATCAACATTCTAGAGATGAAAAATACAGTCATGAATGCAAAGCTCCCACATAGGATTTGTCAATGGGAAGATGACTCCAGGGCACACTTAGAATGCTACAGAGATAAAGATGGAAAATATGAAATAAAAGTTAAAATACAAGGGTAGAGTGAAATGCCTCAAAATGTGTCTAATGAGATCCCAACAGGAGAAGAGCAGGCACAACCAGAGGAGACTGAACCCTTCACGTTCGCAGACACAAGGCCTCAGACTGAGAAGGCGCGTGTCTTACCCCACTTCCCAGTCCTGGAACATACTAGGTATGAGAAAGAGCAAACCACAGAGGGGCAAGCTGCTTTCAGCTCACAGTTTTAGGGGCTTCGTCCATGGCCTTGGGCCTGTGGCAGCTGTCACACTGGGGCGTGTGGCAGAGCAGAGCTGCTCTTCTGGTAGGGAAGAGGAAGGACTGGGGTCCCCCATCCATCCCTTCTAAGAACACATCCCCAGTGACCAGGTGACCACCCATGAGACCCCACCTCTTAAAATTTCCAGTAGCTCCAAGCTGGGAACAGAGGCTTTAAAACATGGCCCTTTAGGGGGCCCGAACTAGCAATGTGTAAGACAAACCCATACAACATACTTGAACTATAACACTGAGCACAAAGGAGAAAAATGTAAAAGATATGAGAAAACACAGGTCCCTCAGATACTAGAGACTTCCACTAAGCATATCATTTGCAATAATCAAAAGATACAGGATACCGAAGGAAATTATCAACCTAGGATTGCTTAACTGCCATTCAAGAGTGAAGTCAAAATAAAAATGATTTCAGACATACAGTCAGTTAATTATGAACCAACCCCTGTGAAAAGAATAGCTAAAAGAGACTTCTTGAAAATGAATCCAGCCGGGTGTGGTGGCGCACACCTGTTATCCCAGCACTCAGGAGGCTGAGGCCGGAGGATTGCTGTGAGCTTGCGGCCAGCTTGAACTACACAGCAAGACTCTGTCTCAAAAAGCTAAATAAGTAAATAAATAAATAATCAATCCAGTAAAGAGAGGTAGGTTACAGAAAGCGATGGTGTACAACAATTGCTAAACATCTGGACAAAACTAGAGTATACTGAGCAGGGGGAAGATAACCCATATCAGGATTGGTGGGAAGCAGATGTACAAAGGTAAGCTAAATGGTCTGGAGGTCAGGAGACCTTTCTTTTAGACATTTAACAAGAAAGTTTGGGAAAACTGTCAAAGGAATGAAAGTGGAACTTCACTATAAAAGGAAAGCAAAGAGAAAACATTGATTAATACAACAAAAAGCAGATAAAGGATGCATTACAAAAGGTAATGGCAGAATTAAGTACAAATACAACATACACAGAATTCTAAATTATATGTAAAAAATACCTTTGAAGTTGCGATGTGGAAAATATTCTTAAAATGACACCAAAACCTTTAAAAAGTGTTTAGGAAGCATCTATAAAGTTAAAGACTTTAGCCAGGCATGGTGGTGCACACCTGTAATCCCAGCACCCAGAAGGCTGAGGCAGGAGGATCACTGCAAGTTCAAGACCAGTCTGGGCTACAAAGTGAGTTTAAAGCCAGCCTGAACTGCATAGCAAGACCCTGTTGCAAACAAAACAAAACAAAAAGACTATATGATGAAAGATGTAAACCAACCTTAAAAACATGCCACAGATTAAGATGACCTAGAAAAACTAACAAAGCATTCATACCCAAACTATATTTTTAAACACCTACAATAAGGGCAAAAAAAGATATTTTATGCCTTTAGATTAATAAAAGTTCTCCAGGCTGGTTTTGCCAAGAACTGATGAGAACGTGAGCAAACGAACTCTCAGACACAGCCAGTAGGAACAGACGATTGGTGCAGCCACTTTGGAGGGCAATTTGGAAAAATCTACTTCAACTTTCATGTCAGATCTAGAGAAACTTCAAATGTACAAGACATGTTCAAGAATATTCACTGTAGAAGTCTGTCATGATGAAACAGGACAGTTAGTAATGGCCTAAGGAGGAGGACGGATAAAGAAATTGCAGTTTTGTACTCAGATGCTGACAGTAGGTGTATAGTTCCAAAGTGGCTCCTGATGATTCCTCCCCCCTCCCCCGATGCTCTCAGCTTTGGGCCAGATTTACAGACTTCTTTGCAGCCAACAAAACATGGCAAAACTGATAGAATGCTACTTCCAAGACTTGGCTACAAAAGGTGTGTTAATTTCCAAAGGCTGCCATAAAAAATTGGCTGGGTGGCTTAACAAAATGTAAATGTACGATCTCATATTGCTGGGGCCAGAAATCAGAAAACAAGATGTCAACAGGCTGGGAAGGAGAAACCATCCATGCCTCATTCTCAGCCCCTGGTGAAGTCCCTCCACTGACAGGCGGATCATTCTTCACACCACCTTCCTCTCTGAGTGCATGTGTCCCCTTATCTTGGAAGGACTCCAGTCCCAGTGCTGAGCTAATTTTATCTGCAGAGAGCACTTGCAAATGAAGTCACACTCTTAAATTTTGGGGACACACTACTCAACCCACTAGATGGTGACATCCTCTTGCTCTTGCTGCCTTGGTCCAGTGCAGCAGGCTGTCGTGTTGTGAGCTGCCTTGGGGAGGCCCACATGACAGAGAACTGAGGGTGGCCCGCAGCTTACAGTCAGCAGAGAGCAGAAGCAGGTCCTGCCTGGTCACATCCCTGTGAGGCCATTGCTCCAGCCAATACCTTGATCACAGCAGTATGGGAGAATCTGAGCCCAGAGCCCAGTTAAGTCACACTTGGATTCCTGACCCACATAAACTGTGAGGCAGTTAATGCTCATTTAGGCCAGTAAATTGTGAGGTAATTTGTTACAGAGCAGCAAGTGACTAACTCAGGGACTATGTGGCCATTTAAAAGAATGAAGTAGAGTTGCAGATGTCAACTGCAGAAAAGTTTATAAATAATATAAAATGAAAAGGTAAAAATGTCAGGATAGAAAATTGACATTAAAAGAATCAATAGCTTTTCTCTACTCCAATAACGAGCCATGTGAGAAAGAGGGTAGGAATAACACACACACACAACCTAGGAAGCAACCTAACTAGGAGGTGAAAGACCCCTACCATGGGAATTACAGAACACTGAAGAAAACTAGAAGGTAAGAAGGCCTTCCATGTTCGTGGGTTGGCAGAATTAATATAATTAAAATGGCCGCGTTACTAAAAGGGAACTACACATTCAATGCAATCCCCATCAAATTCCAAAGACATTCTTCACAGAACTGAATTTTTTCAAAAAATTCTAAAATTCATATGGAAATGGGTCAGAATAGCTGAAGCAATCCTGAGCAAAAAGAAGCGAGATAATTATAATACCAATTTCAAATTATACTACAAAGCCACAGTATCAAAAAGAGCATGGCACTGGCACAAAAATAGACACACAAATCAACGGACTAGAATAGAGGTCACAGAAACAAAACCATCCAAATACAACTGTCTGATTCTAGACAAAGGAGCCAGAACATACACTGGAGAAAAGGCAGCCTCTTTTGCAAAAAGTGCTAGGAAAGCTGGATTTCCACATGTAGAAGACTGAAACTAGATCCCTGTCTCATCTTGTACAAAAATCAAATCAAAATAAATCAAAGACTTAGGTATGAGATCTGAAACGGATAAAAGAAAACATGAAGAAAGACTTGAAACCATAGGCACAAAGACTTCCTATATATGATTCCAATGGAACAGGAAATGACCAGAATCAGTGCACGGGCCAACATCCAATTAAAAAGTTTCTGTACAGCAAGAGAAGTAACCAACAGAGTAAAGAGATAATCTACAGAATGGTGGAAAAATCTTTAGAAGCTACTCTTCTGACAAAGAATATCTGGAATGTAAAAGAATTTCGAAAACACACATGAAATCAAACAGCCCAATCAAACACATTCTCAAAATAAGTGCAAATGGCCAATAAGCATTTAAAAAAATGTTCAGCATGTTTAACCATTAGGAAAATGCAGATGAAAACTACAGTACATGGCTGGGGATATAGCTCAGTGGCATAAGTGACCACTTGGCAAGCGCAAGGACCTGAGTTCAATTCCCAGTACCACACACACACACAAAAAAACCACTACAGTACAATTTCATCTTACCCTAGTCAGAATGGCTACTAGAAAGAATACAAAAAACAGTAAATGTTCAGAGAAAAAAAGAAACTGTCCTATACTGTTAGTGGGAATGTAAATTAGCACAGTGACTATGGAAATCAGTATGGAGCTTCCTCAAAAACTGAAACTAGAATTACCATATGACCCAAGGATACCACTCCTTAGTGAATCCCTGAAGGAATCAAAGTGAGAATACTACTGGGACGCCTGCAAACCTGCATTTATTGTGGAACAGTTGACAACA